AAAGATTCAAACAGATATCCAGGCAATTAAAAATTTCATTGGAAGTATATGCAGCAGGATGAGCCAATTTGAGGACCGAATCTCAGACATAGAAGACAGGATTGTGGTTAATGATGATGAAAAGGTCCTTCTTAAAAATAGCAAGGGACCATGAGAAATCAATCCAACAGCCACTAGATGATGCAAAGAATAACATAAGGTTGATTGGAGTCAATGGAAAAAAGTAGGAGACAGTGCAAATGACAAAAACTAAAAACCCTGTTCACAGATGTCATGGCAGAAAATTTCCCTAGCAGGGAAAAGAATTTGAAATACAGATGTGAGGCCTATAGAACATCAATTACCCATGATCAAAACAAAAATCTATACCAAGGCGTACATTAGTCAAGATTCCAGAAATTCAACACAAGAACAGAATACTAAAAGCTGTTAGGGAAAAGAAACAAATCATCTATAAAGGAAAGGCCATCAGAACAATAGCAGAATTCTCAACACAAACCCTCAAGGAGACCTTGGAGTGACGTATTTCAAGCCTTCAGAGAAAACAACCAACAACCAAGATTGATGTAATCCACAAAACCATCTTTGAAAGTTCATGGAAAAATAACATACTTCCATGACAAAGGACACCTGATGAAAATTATGAACACCAAACCAGTACTCCAAAATGTTCTGAAGGACATTCTAGAAAGAAATAACAAAGATTAGAACTCCATGAACAAAAACAGAATTATTGTACCAGGCAATGAATATAATTACACAGAGGGGGAAAAAAAAAGGAGCCAACAACAGGAAAATAACATGACAAGGGTAAGTCAATATATCTCGGTTATAACTATCAATGGGAATGGTCTCAGTGAACCAATCAAAAGAAACAGGCTGGAGGAATGGATGAAGAAACAAGATTCAATGATATACTGCATACAAGAAACACATTTAATTCAAAAAGAAACTCATATACTGAAAGTCAAAGATGGAAAACAATACTCCATGTGACAGGAACCAGGACAACACAGAGGTACCTATTCTGTTTGCAGAGAAGCTGGATTTCAAGCCAAGAATGATTAAAAGAGACAAAGAAGGTCACTACATCCTTGTAAAGGAAATAATCCAAGTGGAAGAGATAACCAGCATAAGTATATGTACAGCAAATACCAGTGTACCCAACTATATAAAACAAATATTAATGGACATGAAAGAGCATAGAACAACTGTTATTAATTCCTATCATCTAGTTTTGAAATTCTGTATCATTTTTAGTTTTTGAGTTGTTTTGTTTTTGTCTTCATTGCTGTTATTTTGTTATTTTTTTCCTCTTCAAAATAAAAAAAGAAAAGAGTATGTAAACACTAATACAATTGCAATGGGTAACATCAATACTCCCACTGTCACTAATAGACAGATCAACTAGACAAAATACATCAAAAATGAAATATTAGAACTGAACCATACTTTGAACAAATGGACTTAGTAGATGTCTACAGAGTGTTCCACCCCACATTAGACTACACATTCTGCACATGGGACCTTCTACAAAATAAACAATACATGACCTAATAGAACATGCTTAAATTAATGCAAAGGAATTGAAATTAATCCATTCATATTATTAGACCATAGTAAAAGGAAATTGGAAACATTAGCTAGAAAAATTAGACAAGAGAAAAAAATGAAAGGAATAGATATTAAAAGAAG